AAGGCGCCGACCAGAAGTCAGTTGACCGGCGTAGCACACTATCTCACGAACGCACCCGCGACGCCGAAACCACCACACCTCAGCAGCAATGGTAGACCGGTCCACCGCCTGACGTGGGGGAGGCCGATGAGCACGCTGACTCAGCGGCGACCGCGACAGCCGCGAAGGGGGCGCAAGCCACGCAAGCCCGCAAATGGTCGAAATCAGAAGGGCCAGAACCACCTAGCTGCAAATAGGCCAGCCAACACACGTGCATTGAGCGCGGTTATAATACAAGGCAGGAGGCAAAGCTGAACAAATCAAGGCCAGCAGGAAAAGCCAGCGAGTGACTCTGATGATGGAAACGAGAGAGTTTCCGAAACGTCAGTAAGCGTCAGTAAATACAACCTGCTTCATGAAATCGCCCTCACTTCTTCGTCTTCTTCGGGGGATGATAAACATGAAAATATATCCGGACCTTGAATCTAAACGCATTCTTGAACACAAACTGGCAGTTAAAAGGCGAGACCAGCTGTCTCAAATTGCCACGAACACTCTACACACTGGACACACCTTTGCATGGGACTAAACTCGCGTCGTCGGAGTTGCCCCTCTAAAAAGCCGACAATTTCTCGAAGCCATGTCCTACGATGAATCATGCATCAATCGACACATTGCGTTAAATATCACGTGCAAAAATCTCAGGGAAAATTGGTAGAGAAGAGAGCCAATCAGTACCGAATGACGCCCACGCCGGTCGCTTACTGTTGAAAACGCCGGATGAATATCGATTTTCAGCATGTTTGAAATGCCAATTGTTTTTTACATATTTGCTCAAGTCTGACGAGCACCTGGGGAACCAGCGTCGAAAAGTTACTTAGAATGTGTTCCACTTTTCTCAAAGAACGTGCTTGCCTTCAAAAATTATTCCTTTATGTAGATATATTAGATGAGGCGATCTCGGGAACCACGGTTTTATCGTCCTAACGTTTCAAAAGCAGACAAGCTTTCATCGTCTTCCGTATAATTAACACCGTGTTAACATGCCTGTTATCCCTTACCCCGTCTATGAATACTGCGTGACGCCGTGCAATACTCACCTCCGACGATGAAACCTTGTCGGCTTTGGAAACGTCAGATCATATGGACACGGCCCGTGCGTATGTCGCCACAGCCGAGACAATTGGCAAAGGCGGCGTCATAGCCGGCTTACCAAAGGAAAAAAAGCTAAAATGCTTGTATTCCAATGCGCAAAGTCTGCTATCTAAATTAGACGAGCTTAAAATCTACGTTGACCAAACCTTACCCGATGTTATATTTATAACTGAAACGTGGCTGTCCGTGAGCGTAGACGATCGCGAAGTCGCTTTATCTGGTTATCACTTTTTCAGAAAGGACAGGTTGGGACGTCAAGGTGGAGGTGTGCTCGTGTATGTCAAAGATGGCCTTTTTGTGTCAGAAAAAGAGGGACAGCTCGCGCGCACAACTGAAACGATTTGGCTCACCGTCAAAACGCCGGGGTCACAACCTCTCGAGATCCTGACGGTCTACCGCCCA